CGGGGGGGCGGCCGCCCTGCGCGGGGTGCAGCAGCAGCGGGGGGAGGAAATGCCCCTGATTCCCCTTAATTTTATATCCCCCCCCAGCACCAGAGGCAGAACCGGTGCCCCCAGCAGCATGGAGCAGCTCCAGGGGTGCAGGTAGGCTGGGGTCCCCCCCTTGATGCCCCTCAGCACCAGCAGCCTTTTGTTCTGGGCTGTCAAGTAAGTTAGGGGTGACCACATTGGGGGAGTCCTGCTGAATAATCCCTCCTGTTCCCTCCTCCCCCGGCAGCAGATGGTCAGTTTTGCCGGAGATTGCGCATCCCCCCTGGAAATGGGGGAGGAGGGGGCTGCTTTCCCCTCTGCATAATGGAGGAAAGTGACCCATAAATATTTAGACAGGCATTGAAGTGGCGCTGAAAGGCCGCGGGGAAACCCACGGGGTATCAACCCCTCTCGCGCACGCTGGAGGGGCGGGGGGGTCGGGATCGGCAACATGGCTTTTGCCCGGGTTCCCAATGGAGGGTCTCGGAGAGGGTCCACTTTTCGGAGGAGTGCTCATCTATTGTAATTAGCTGCAGATGTGTTCCTCCAAGTTCCCTCTAACAATGATAGAGTGAGGCACGCGGTCACGTGGCAGGACTTTTCACAATCCTGGGGTGGGGGCAAAACCGGTGCTCCTCCAGCCCAGGGGTCAGGGGGAATTAAAGGGAGCGATTGCTGGTGGTGGGAGGGAAACGGTCAGATTCGATCCGGCATTTCCCCGAGTGTTGGGTGTCTTCACTGGTGCACTCCTCGCTGTGTGGGAGAGCAGACAAACACCTTTTTGGGGGGTGCTTTTCTCTTTTAACCACTTCTGAATTAAAAAAAAAACAAACAAACAAAAAAAAAACCTACCCCAAAATGAAGAGCTTCGTTCCTTTCAATGGCAGTAAATTCTGGCCAAATAACTTGGCCTTTTTTTAAATTTTAATTGATGGATCTGAACTTCTTAAACTCAAATCTGCACCTGACTAACAAAACCAGTTGCGCTGAATCTTGTAGTCATGAATAACTTTTATAAATAACTGAAATGCTGAATTTGGGACTATTTTATGCATATATTAATCTGTTTTTTTTGTTGTGTTTTTGTTTTTTTTGGCAGGTATGTTCGTTAGTCTTGAAATGAGAAGTGTCCACGGCCTGTTCCATGTGTAGGAAGGAGAAGACCTCAAGTAAAAGAGCAGCTTTCTGGTGGATGGGCCTTGTGTTGTGTAAAAGTGCTTACAGTGCAGGTAGTGTTTTGGTATCTACTGCAGTATAAGCACTTCTAGCATTACCATGGCAATTCAATCAGTGATTTGTCATCTGGTGCAGATGCAACCAAAATTGAGTTTGTTTTGCTGCTTTGCAAATGTTTCTTGTGTTAAGGTGCATCTAGTGCAGTTAGTGAAGTAGCTTAGAATCTACTGCCCTAAATGCTCCTTCTGGCACGAGGTGCATCATGTTCGTCTTGCAGGTGCATGCAACAGCCTGGAGTTAGGCCCTGGCATGGCCAACCCTCTTTCCAAGGCTCTTTGCTCAAGGCAGAGAGCTGATTTTTCTTTTTCTTTTTTCTTTTTTTGTCCTAGCAGTATCAAAGTGCTCATAGTGCAGGTAGCTTTTGTATTGGATCTACTGTAATGTGGGCACTTACAGTACTGCCAGATAAAATGCATCATTGGCCGGTGGCTGCGTCTTGGAAGAAAGCAGTGCTGCTTACAGTCAGTTTTGCAGGTTTGCATCCCAGCTTATATCCAGTGCTGTGCAAATCCATGCAAAACTGACTGTGGTGGTGGTGAATCAGTTGTGGATGATGAGTCCCTGAGCGTACCCCCCCCCCCCCCCCAAAAAAAAACAACAAAAAAACCCAAAAATAAACCCCAAACAAAAAACCTGAAGACGACTGAAGGCTTTTGCACTGGTTTCTCCATGGGTGGGGATTTGTTGCATTACTTGTAGCTATGTTTAGAGTATTGCACTTGTCCCGGCCTGTGGAGGAAAGGAGGACTTGTCGTCAGGTCTCTCTTAAAGCTGCCCAGGTGGTTATGCTTTGTTTTGCTGTTGTCGGGTGGATCACGATGCAATTTTGATTAGTTTAGAAGGAGAAAAATTGCACGGTATCCATCTGTAAACCGCAGGACCTTCATCGCTGACAATGTCACTTTTGTCAGTACTTGGAAGGGCACGAAAACGGTTGCAAGTGCGCAGAGTGGCCAAGGTCTTGTGGGAGACCTTAGGAAGCATCGTTTTACCGGGGGTATTTATTTCAGAAACCTAGAAGGTGGATTCTCTCCGAGGAATCCACGTGGTGGAGACGGTTTGTAGGAAGTGAAATCTTTCTTGATGCTGAAATGTAAATGGCTGCGTTGTGGACGTGTCAATAAAGTTGAGTAAAACACATTTTTTGTCCTTTGCAAATGACCCAGCGGAAGTGCTGTTGCATCGGGCAGCAGCAGAAGTAAGACCAGTTCTCTGCAGCTTTCCCCTTTGAATCTGATGCCCTGTTCTTTGGCTGAAGAGCTGCCAGAGGAAGGGGAGAGGCAGGTTCTGGTACAAGGACTTAGAGCAGCGGCTCTCAAACTTGTTGACTTGAGGCACACCTCAAAATGCCAGCTTTTAGCTTGCTTTCATTTCTTGACTATATAGAAAAATAACAGAACTACATTTCTGTTGCAACAAACTTGGCAAGACCCGCACTGGGTCAAACTTCTGACAAACCCAGAGATGATAGAAATCCAGTGCATCTTGTGGAGGGTGCACTGCTAACACCACTAATATTTGCAAATGGTGCATAGGCGTCCGCACACTGTAACACCCCTAATATGATGAGGCCCTCTAAAAGGATCTTGAGATGCCCTGGCACCTTGGTTGAGAATCGCAGTCTTGGATACTGCTGCCAAAGTCCCAAGCGGGGAGAAGAGTGCTTGTGATCTTTGTGGGAGCAGAGTAGGGGGTGAGGACTCCCTGGGGCAGCTCCCTCCAGGATATAATGTCCAGGCATGTCCTCAACACAGTAGCTCAACTTCCCCAGGAGTTCGGAGTGGCTTGCATGCAGACTGGCCTGTCGGGTGCTCTTCTGGAGTGCTTGGGCTCGAAAACCCTCCAGGTCCAAGCAAGGGATTTAGCTTGGCTCGCCCACAGGCTGGGGATGTGCTTTTGCTGCAAAGCTATAATGTAGGGAGCAGCAGGGGGGTACCAACCCTTCCAGCTTTGTTTCAATGGCAGGCACCGCTGTGTTTCGAGGGGGCTTCATCCTGAAGCATGCCCAGTATACTCAGCACCTCTGCTCACTAAGCCTTCTCAAAATGGAGGGGCTTGCACAGATGTGCTGTAATGGCCTTTTCAGGCCTGTGCAGGGATCTTAAGGTCAAAAGGGGCGGTGCGGGAGCCATTTAAATGCCTGGGGGAAGCTGAGCAGCTTTTAGGATCCTGGGTTTCTTTGTGCACAGAAGTTTCACCCAGAACCTTTTAGGATCTGGCCCCTCTTTCTAGAAGGACGGGTTTCCAGTTGAATGCCCACAAATTTGAGGGGTGCCTGACACCTCGAAATCCATTGTTTAGTCCAGGCCTGAATGTGCCTGATAGCCCAGCCTGTTCAGAACAAGGAAGCAGAAATGGAGGGAGAGATTTTATAAGATCTGTGAAATAGCTTGCTTAAATTTGAGCGTGCTTTAATACACAGTGACTGCGTTGGCCAGAGAAATCCTTACTTTGCAGCCCCTCATCTTGGATTTGGCTTTTTAATCTTCCTTGCTATAAATCAAAGCAGGGTATCCCTGAGCTCTCAATGTGCTGCACAGATACCGGGGCAAATGTGTTCCCCACTATCTTTAAAGCGTGCATGCTCAATTTTTTTTCTAGTGTCAACAAGTGAAGTGACCAAATAAGTTTGCTAATCATGACCTTTTTGGCAGCGTGGACAGATTTGCAAATCTTTAGCTCCTCTCAAGATGCTTCCTCCTTTGGTTTATTGAATTGATAGCTGTGGGGATGTATTTATACTGCAAAGGGAGGCTTGCTGACATGTCCTCAGCCTGCTGCTGCTGCACAGGAGACACCAATCTTTTGCTAACACTATTAATAACTTAGTGAGATATTTGTTGCAACTAGCAGTGTAGTGGCCCTGCCACTAAACAGAATGGCTGTCCCATGTAGTTGCAGCAAGACTACGTGCGCCTCTTGTCAGCGAGTTCAAAATACCCCTTGCAAATAAAGAATTTTTTTTTTTGTTTGCAAAAATTTAGTTGGTCTGAGAAAAGAAATCACCCCTACCACAAGTCCTGATTCCTGCAGTCCCAGTGCACTGTGTCCTGGTGCTTGCAAAGAGGTTGGGCCTCCAGCTGTGCGTGGCTTTGAGTTATCCTGCTCTGCCAGTAAAAAGCAGCCCATCTCCTCTGGGTGACTTGTAGCTTGAAATACTGGTCCAGCAAATTGCTGCTGAAGCGATTGATGTGCGTACGGTAACAGCTATCTGTTTACATTGTAGGTGTCTGACTTCCTGATAAATAACCACAGAATGGGTTCCAAATGGCAAGCCTGCAGTTTAGGTAACTTGTACGGGGGAGTTTCCTACTTGCCTTCCGTTGTTTTAAGCTTACAAAAATGGTCATATGTTTCTGATGTTCCTAATAGGTCAGGCATTAGAAGGTAGGAACAATCTTAGACTGTTGCAAGAAGCCATTGCGAACTGCTGGCTTGCGCACACTACTGTTGTCAGTTCATTAGACCGCAGTTCTCGAAGCAAGCGGAGGCAGGACAGAGTCTTTCCCTACTTGTGTGTGTTTCTGAGACTTGCACTCTGTTCTTTGTTGCTCTTGTCAACTATTTAAATAGCAGAGATAGGCCAGGCTTGTGGGGTCCTGGGATTCCTCGTGGCAGTGAAAGGCCTTCTGAAGTCAAATGCAGTCTACTGCTGTCATCACCTTTTCTTTAAAAAACAAAAAAAAAACTTATAAAGGTCAGCAAGCAGAGCCCTTTTAATCAGAAGCTGTAGAGCTTCCATGCTGCCATTCCTCAATACTTGTTCCTTTAATGCATCCTGATGAGGCAAGTCATTTTCTTGGTTGGGGCTTTCCACCTTGGCTCTTTACTGCGACAAATACAATAGTGTGTATAGAAGAGGGGAATCTCTGCTTAGCAGCAGTGACTGCTGGCTTGTTTTCAATCAGCTTGTACTTGCAATGTGTCCTCTTCAGATGGACTGCAATCCCCATTTTACCTGCAGATGGATTCACTGACCATTTCCAGAAGTCTGAAGGTGTGTGCTGACTCTGAGCCATGCTAACAGCACAGCGTGCATCGTGCTTTGCTCTCTGCCCAGGTCTTTGCAAGCGGTCCTTACTTCTATGAAAATCATTGGAGGTCTAGATGTTGCGCTTAATCTGATGTTGCCACAGCAGGACAAAATGGAGTTAAATGATAATCAGTAGTGATACCTGAAGTCTAGTAATTTGTGTAGTGCAGCATCCAGTAGCTTTTGATGCTCTTCTGTGCTCAGGGAAGTTGACTTGTGGGTCATGGGGTTTTTATGACGGCAGCCAAACTCGTACGGAAGAAACTTCTTGTAAACATCTTTTAAAATTGGAAATGGAAACCAAGAGGTCTGGATCCTATCCAAGCTACTGTCTGAACATCAAGAATTTAGTTCTTATATTGCAAGTAAGAAACCTAAAGTTGAATAGTTTGTTTCCCAAGCCAGGCTGTGCCAAAAAGCTGGTGTCTCTGATGGAAAGGGAAGCTGACCTTGTCCTTGAAAGCTTGTATAAACACAAGTTGTGTCACTTTCGGGATATGGTTGTAGAGCTGCCTCCCCACTCTTCTGTATGGACAGGTTTACTGGACTGAAGGTACTTTAAACTGGTGCCATAATGGGAAGGTGCTTCATGCTGGTCTGAACTAGTGCATCGGCACTAGGGGTTACAGCTGCGTAACGTGGGCTTAAACAAATACAAACTGCACCCAAAATGGTTATGTTTGTACGAAAAAACTAGCCACGTTTTAAATTAAAGTGGCCAAGCTTAAATTCTCCAGCCCTCCATGTTACGGAGGACAAGTTGTTTAATCTCTGTGCCGCTTCCAGGCCTGTAATGTGTGGATCATGCTGCTTCCCTGCCTTCTCCGGGCTTTGCGTGCGTGGTTTTGTGGGTGTGTGTGAAGTGTAGAGATACCAGCCTGGAGCGCTGGGGCAAGAAGAAACATTTAGACCTAGCACTGTAGTGTCGGTACAGTAGAAGTAGAAGGAATCCTGCCTTACCTAGCATTCAGTGTACATTATGCATGTCTGCGTACGAAGGTGTTGAGCAGAAATATCTCGCCTGTGCAATTCTTCATTAGTAATGTATATGCATCCCTGGCTGCCCTCTTTAATGAGGAGCTGTGGGCTGTTTTGAAAGATGTCTCTTTTTTGCCTTTGGGAAGGAAGCCAGGTGCCCAGAAACTTCAGTAGAAGTTTTATAAATTAGCCTCTACTTCTCTGCAAAGATTTATTTTGAGCAGCTTCTGCACATGAACAGCAAGCCTGACAGTGGGGAGGCCTCGATGTTCACCGTCCATTCTTTACGATGATACCGCACCACACTTTTTTTTGCCACGATGCACGAATAGTTATTTCCCAAGCCTAGGTTACGCTTCATCTGTCAAGTCCAGGCACGGAGTACTTGACTCTTTCGGTTCAAGAGAAAGGTTGTTAATATTTCTGAACTACACTTTAAATATCTATTGCCATACTATTACTACTTTTAACTATGATTTTGTCTCGATTACTTGGTTAACCTTGGCTAAGCCTGTATTTTTTCCAACGGAAACTTCTTTAACAATTGATGTCTATTAAGTGGTTGTAGTTCACCTTGCATCGTTTCCTGGTTTGCCTTGTCCTAAGTAATTATGGTCTGTCTGTAATAACTGGCTCCAACTTCCAGAACGGAGGAGGTTGAAATCACAACTTAGTTGCTTGACATAAGGATCTCAGTATCTCTGTCCTGGTCGCTGGATCGCGTATTGTCCAGATCTGTTTCTCATAGCTTTTAAAACCTGTTTGTTCAGGAAACAACTATGCATTATACATCCACGTATTCCCGTCTCTCTTGTGCTGTGTTCCTTCAAAGTGTCACAAGGGCCATCGATTTGAAATTGCAATAATGTCTGCAGGACTTGCTTCATTCTCTTGCTTCCTTATGTTACCTGTTTCTTTTCTCTCTCTCATATTTCATCTCTGTTCTGACTAGTTGCTGGCTAGTTTGGGCATCTCTCCCAGTGGAGGCCTTTGCTTATAATAAATTCTTATTGCCTTTGCGCAGGATGTGCTAGTGTATAGCAAAATATAGGGAATTACTACATTAAATCACAGGATGACGATGATTCCCCAACAGTGACTCAGGTTGGTCACTAAAGAAACGTGTTTTTATACGCATCTTTAAAATAAGCGTGACACAGGAAATTACAGTTATGTTCATCTAATATAGAGGGGCAATAGAGTGATTTCTTTGTAATTGAAATGCTGATTGGCATTCAATGGGGCCTTGGCTCCAAAACGGCGTAATGATGGCAATCCCTGTTGGCGAGGACAACAAATCTAACAACTCAATTGAGATTCTGAAGCAGCGGCAGCTATTTTGGAAAAACAATTATGCAACTTTAAATATATATTTATACTGTAACAAGTCTGTTGCCATGTCTGGGACTCTCAGGTGTTACTCTGATACTGTGACTGGAGAAGCAGTGATGGTAAATTTATCATTGCAAAAAAGCAGGGCTCCTTACATGTGAACCGAAGGAAAGATCTTGTAAAGGGTGTCTGATGCAGTGGAGGGTTTTGGATCTGACTTGGTAGAGGGAAGTCATGTGCATGCATCTATTCACAAATTAAAAAAGGACAAGATTTTACAAGCAGCGGTGTGTTGGGGGTGGCCTAGGGAATGTAACTGCCCTCTTCTCTCAGAGTGATCGTTTTCATCTGCATAATGGGGTTGAACAAAATAATTGTTTCGCTTCTGAATAGAAACTCCATACTGAGTTGGACCAAAGGTCCATATAGTGGCTGTCCTGTCTTGAACTGTGGTAAGTAGGAGACACTGGAAGGATAGGGCATGTTTAAAGTGATCCATCCCTTATCAACCCCTCCTTGGGAGGCATGTTGGAGGGCTTGACTGGGTCTGTTCCCCCCAGACTGGAGGAAAGTCTCTTTGTTTTTTTTTTCTTTTTTTTTATGCTCAAAAGTTTGTTTAGCGTCTCTCCCAACAATAGTTACGCTATCTCACAACTTTCTTGAAGTGGTACAGAAGATTGTCATCTGTTCCGTTAATTTTAGTGTTTTTATTAGTGCAAGTCTGTTGTGGACTTTATCTTCTCATTTATCAGTGGAAGTTTTTCCTTTGGTGGCAGACCTGACCTGGGTTTCAGTCTGCTCGGGATCTGAGGAGACTGGGAGACCTCTAAGCTTTGCTCCAGACAGCTTTCCTGGCTCTTACTGCTGGTTTGGTCTAATATTGCATTGGGTGTAATAAAGGCGGAGCTGGCTGGAGGGTTTTTTTTATTTTGTTTTTAAATAGAAGGGCATTTTTGACTTGTTGCAAAAATTTTCATGAAAAGAGTCTTTGTCTTTTGAAGCTTCTTGACTGGCAATTTGTATGAAATGAAAACGTTCTCAATTCACTTTGATTGGGAAGGGGAGGAGGACAAAGGTGGGGAAACAGAAACAATGCAGAACATCATCGTAGTTCTGTTCCAGTTTGAATTTGGGGGGCGGGGGCTTGTTCTTGTAAGTGGCTTCTTCTGGTTTTGGTTCTTTTCAAAAGATGCAACTTTTTGTGAGAAATGAGTGAACCATAAACAAGGAGGGTTGGAAGGGACCTCAGGAGGTCGCATCTATTTCAGCCTCTGCTCCAAGCAGGACCAGCCCCAACTGCAGTATCCCGGGCAAGGCTTTGTCTACCTGGGTCTTAACAACCTCCAAGGATGGAGACTCCCACCTCTCTAGGTGACCTGTTCCAGTGCTTTACTACCCTCCTAGGGAGTTTTTCCTAATATCTAACCTCAACTTCCCTTGCTGCAGCTTGAGCCCATTGCTCCTTGTCCTGTCATCTGCCCCCGTGGAGAACAGTCCAGCTCCATCCTCTTTGCAGCCTCCCTTCAAAGGATGCTAATCAAGTCCCCTCTCAATCTCCTTTTCTCTAGAATAAATCAGCCCAGTGCCCTCAGCTTCTCACATGTCTTGTGCCCCAGCCCCCTAGTTCAAATCCCAATTTCTATTTTGTTCATATTTTTACAGGCGGTGGTGGGGGGAATCCATTTGACCAGCCCGAGAAGGTGGGACTGCTGTAATTAAATTGCATCCCTCATTCTGAAAATAATGCGAAGGGGGTGGTTTAAAAGTGCTAGGTTTTTTTGTTTGTTTTTTTTGGTTTCAAATCGGTGAAGTGTGAAAAGGTAACTATAAATAGTCTTTCTTTACAAGAGATTACATCTTGCTTAAAATCCTTGATGATTCATATCCTGGAAGTAGTTTTATTTCTCATCGAATGTAGAATAAACTGCTGAATTTGAAACACTTGAACATGGTGGGGGGAGAAAGTTGATGATTTTTTTTAGCATTCAGCTCAAAAATAGCATGAAATCTCAGCAAGTACTTCACTTTCACTACAAGTTTTTGCCTTGTTTGAAAAGAATTTAAAACCAGTGAAATTAGGAACGGTATATGGAGACGATTGCAGCTCTTTTTGTGACACAGTGCATTGTCATGCCACACTCCCAGCTGTGCCTGTGGAGATTAAACCATTAATATTTTGTAAATTGCCATATATGAGATGAATACTTCTAGATTATTTGATTTGTTTGTCAGATTTCTTACATTATGAAGGAGTCTGGATAAACTTTAAATCTTCCTACATGTGGTGATGGGGGGTGGTGGTTAGTACTTGATAAAATTCTGACTTTTTGGTGATTGTGGTGGGCGAGACTTCCAGTTGCAGGGTACTGTGATGGCAGAGAGAATCGGGTGTCTTCCCCAAGGAAGAAATCCTCTTCAAAGCATCAGCTGGCAGTCTCTAGTCTGGACTCTCTCTCCTGTCACTGGCAGAGGGCAGTAGCAGATGCTTTGGAAAAACAAGAGAACCTGCAATTATAGAATAACTTGTCTCTAGAAAACATTTCTTCCTAACTTCAAACAGAAGCTGTCTTTAATTCTGCTGCTGAAGGTTTTATATCAATTGAAACTTTGTGTGTGTGCATTAAATATTCTAAACCTCGAATTAGTGAATAAATATCTGGTTGTCAAGCATGAAACATGCATTTTGAGTTGAAACCTTTTCATTCTCTAGCTGAAACAAACCTATTTTAATGTCCTTATGAATTTGTTTCCATTCTGCAACACAAATTCAGGGCTTTGAAAATGTTCCAGTTTTGGAGCCTATGTGCTTGATATCATTTGGTTGAATTATAATAAATGCTTGTAAAATAGCACATAGGCAGACAAGGTTCTTTGGGTGAATCTGGTATCTTTTATTAGACCAAGTAAAGATATAATCTGATGTAAAAGATAATCAGATTCACCCAAAGAGCCTTGTCTGCCTA